TGGTTGGTTGGTTGGTTGGTTGGTTGGTTGGTTGGTTGGTTGGTTGGTTGGTTGGTTGGTTGGTTGGTTGGTTGAGTGTGACAAGGGTACGTTCAAGGTGAATCAGGTACCTTTGTCCTCAAGTTTTGCATCCAGATTGTTGTTTTAAGTGTGACTACAGCAGCCATGACTTAGTTGGTTTAGATATGGTTTAGATTCAGATATATAAATACGTCCTTCTCCGGAGCGAGGTGAGGGTGTGGATTGTGTGCATTCAACGACATTTGTGACACTTTTCAGATAGGAATGCGAGACAAATTATTTACTCGTCGCCCATAAAGTACTGTCAACAAAGCTTTCGGGCAAAGTGTCAAATCAATGCACCCCCCCCGCTCAGATGGCTGTACTCAGATTAGATTCGTCAATCCCTTCTATGTCCTAAAAGGAGCGCAACATAAACGTCACTCACACTACTGAGCTCACCCGCCACGAAAACATGCCCAGTGATCCTTGCGGCTCGTGGTTCTTCAGGAGGAAGTGTGCCCTTTGGCAGCCCGACCTCCGTTCGAGCCTCAGTGCAGCACCGAGAGAAGCCTTTTTCGGCTAAACTCCCTGGAGAAGAGGACGACGGTTTCCCAGTTTTGATCCCTTGATGTCCAACAAGAAGAATCCTTCAAAATGTTGCATCCCAATGAATGAATCACTGGCCAAGGACTTCAAGACACCCACAGGATGGAGTCGCAGCCTCGGATTGATATTGAAATGACTCAGCCTTCACCTTGTTTCTGGTGCTATTTGTTTGTCCTTTCTTCCGGTGACACATTTGTGGGCGCCAACGGCTGATACAAAGAACTGAAGTCCTCAAACTACTTGGTCCACTGCTCATAGACGGCCGTGAGGTTTTGTTGGGTTTTTGGTACGTTGCAGACGTGGTAAACCTTTAGCCTGACTGGGTTTCTTACAGACTTGGGAATTGTTTGTATTGAGACCGCAACCTGACTGGGGAGGACTGAAAATGAGCGTTTCGCTACAACAAGACGCGCATGTTGTTAGTGTTATACAGTTTCCAAACTGCTTAGTGTTTGAGAGACTGGATATTTTCCTTTAAGCTTCTTGCTACTAGTAGTAAGGCCGGGAGCCCCTAGTAGCGTTCTTGCTGATGTTGTAAGTTTCAAAGTCGT